CCCCGCCCTCCGCGCTCCGCTGGCTTCCCGGGAACACGGGCGTTGCCCCTCCCAGCGGCCTGCGGGCCCCGCCCGAGGCCCCGCCCACCGAACGCCCGCTCTCTCGGAGCGCAGGGATTGGCTGAGCTCCAGTCGCGGGAGCGGAGCAAGCGAGGCGTCCGCGCTGGAGCCCCGCTGCGCCGAGGTGGACGCACGCCCCCTGGGGGCCAGGAGGTTTACCGCTGACTTAGCCGTTCGCTTTTCGGGTGGAGAAAGTCAAAGATCATCCATGCACTTGTTCAACGGATTTTACCAAGCGCGTCTGAGACCTAGGTCGGAGCACGCGCGTGCACACACGCACACACACACACACACACACAGACATGATCACTGCCCTCAAGAAGCTCTCTTTAGCAGAATATAATCTAGTGCTTAAGAACTCTTCAGATCTGGGCTCGCTTTCTAACTGTGACCTTGGGAACAGTATTAATTCTTAGCCCCCTTTTCCTCTTAGATGTAGAGGTAATAACACCTATTTCACAGGATATTATGAGGGTTAGATAAGATTATGTAAGTAAAGTGCTATACCAGGCACATAGCAAGCAGAGAAGTAAATGGGTACTGTTGTTAGTCTACAAATAATACAAATATAGTAAAACCTAAGTTTCACCTGACCCTTTAGGTACAAGTATTCACTCCCTTCTCTGTGTCCCCACTGCTCCCTGTAAGACATCTATTTTGTTGCATGTAGAAAACAAAACACCAAAGCCCAAGCTCATAATGCTCCTGCCTAGCCCTGCTTTTCCACTCTCATTCCACTAGTCTCAGCCAGGCAAATTTATCTATCGTTAGTAACACATGCTAAATTCCTCCCATTCCTCCATGCAGACCAAATTGTTGCACACCTCTGTGCCTTTAATTATGCTTTCTCATCTACCTGGAGTGCCCTTCCCACTTTTCTTTACCAAGTATCTATGGCTCATTTTTCAAGCTTTAGGACTACCACTGTAGAAGCCTCCTGGACAGCATTATTAACCCTCCCTCTATAATCTCAAAGAGCTCAATGCTAAGCTCTGGCAGTGGGGATGGAAAGAAAGGAATCGTATAAAGAAATATGCAGGAAACTGTCATTCGTATAATTTATTTACTAGTTGAATAGGTAGAGAAGGGAACAGAATTACCTAGAATAATCAGCGTTCAGTCAGCCAATTAACATGTGCTAGGCATCAGGGGTACAAAAAAAATGACTGGGACCATCCCTGCCCTCAGTTCTCTGCCTAACGGGGAAGCAGACTGGTCTACAAAATGTCAACAGTGTGAGTGCCCTGGCCAGATGGCTCAGCTGGTTGGAGCATTGTCCCATGCACCAAAAGGTTGCCGGTTGGATCCCGGGTTGAGGGGTATGCGGGAGGCAACAGATCGATGCTTCTCTCTGACATCAATGTTTCTCTCCCTCTCTCTCTCTCTCTCTCTCATCAATAAACAGATTCTCATGTAAGGATTTTTTAAAGATGTCAAGAGTGTGAGAAAAGTGGCAATAGAAGTATGCACAAGTGGCACAGAGGAGGAACCCCAGGAAGAATTAAGGAAGGCTCCCCAGAGGAACCTGCCCTTGAGCTGAGTCCCAAGTGATGGCTAGCAGTTCCATCAGGCAGAACTGCATGGTGCTCAAGACTTAGGAATCAGATAGATGTGGGTTCAAATCCTGCCTCTGCTGCCTGCTAATCTCAGAAAAACTATGTTTTTAAAAATACAACAGTACCCACCCCCTGGGGTTGTTCTGAGTACTAAATCACCTAATGTGTATAAAGTGCTTGGCACAGTGCTCAGAATCTCCTAAGTGCTCAGTAAACAGTCACTGGTATGTTCAGTATACTCCAAATTTATTTCTCCTTCTGTAATATCCTATGTCCATTTATGGCATTACTTATTCACTAAGCCAAAAACCCAAGTGACATCTTCAAGGTCTCTTCATCTTTGCATTATTTCCAAGATCCAGTTTGTGCATAGAACCTACACCTCCTGAATGTCTCTCAAATTAATCATCATTATCTCTTACCTAGACCCCTTAGCAACTCCCTGCCTTCCATGGTCCCTTTCAGTGCATTTCCATTCTGTTGGCCAAAGAATCTTTCAAAAACTTAAATAAATTTTAAATGAGCCCTGGCCAGTGTGGCTCAGTTAGTTGGGCATTGTCCTGTGCACCGAAGGCTGCCGGGTTTGATTCCTGGTCAAGGCACATGCCCAGGTTTCACTCTCAGGGTTCTGCTCTCACATTGCTGTTTCTCTCTCTCCATCTCCCTTCCTCTCTCTCTCTCTAAAAATTGACAAACTATTCTCTTAAAAAAATTTAATAAAATCTCCAACCTAATCCCTCTCCCCACCCAACCATGGGTTCCTTTCAGTCATATCTCCTCCCCTGTCTTCTTCATTCTCTGCTCTTCCCATCATTCCCCACACACATACCCTTCCGTGCCTTTGCACAGACTAGTCCTTTTCCCTTCAATAAATGTCCTCCCTTCTCTTTCTTTTTTTTTTTTTAAAAAGATTTTTTACTGATTTTTAGAGAGAGAAGAAGGGAGAGGGAGAAAGAGAAACAACAATGTGAGGGCAGCCCACCTGGGAGTGGCTCAGCGGTTAAGCATCAACCTAGGATCCAGGCAACCGGGGTTCAATTCCGGGTCAGGGCACATGCCCGCGTTGCGGGCTGCAGCCGATCAATGACTCGCTCATCATTGATGTTTCTATCTCTCTCTCTCCCTCTCCTTTCCTCTCTCTGAAATCAATAAAGATATATTTAAAACAAAAACAAAAAACAACAAAAACAACATGAGAGCAGAACATCAATCACTGCCTCCTGCACACCCCCCACCAGAGATCCAGCCTGAAACCCAAACAAGTGCCCTGNCAACAAAAACAACATGAGGGCAGAACATCAATCACTGCCTCCTGCACACCCCCCACCAGAGATCCAGCCTGAAACCCAAACAAGTGCCCTGACCAGGAATGAAATGAGCAACCTTTCAGTGCACGGGACAACATCCAACCAACTGAGCCACACTGGCCAGGGCCTCCCTCTTCTTTGATTGAAAACTCTAATTCATCCTACAAGACCCAGTTCAAAAGATCCCTTTTACAGAAAATTTTCCCAGATTCCCTGGCTGCTCTTGGCTCCCTCCCTCAGGCTCTTCAGGCCCTCTGGGAGAGCAGGCCTCCCTTTATACCTTTCTGTTTGTGTGCCTGGCTCTGGCCAGACTGGGAGCAACTCAAACACAGGGAGTGGATCTAATCCTCCACTTATCCAGCAGAACTACCCAGTCCGCAATACCCGAAGGAGACTACCCCCCATCAGCCCCATGTGGGGAGATTTTAGACATCATGTTTGTAGGATGCCCACACAGTTGCAGTTGCTGACCTGTTTCTTCCTGTCTACTCCCATGTACTTCATGGCCCTGGGAAAGCTGGCCCAGTTTCTGGGAAAAGATACAGACCCATAAAAAAACATATAATATAGAGTGTTAAGCTCAGACTCAGCCACTTCCCAGCTTTGTGATTTGGGGTAAGTTGTTTAGCCTCTCCAAGCCTCAGCTTTCTCATCTGTAAAATTGTGGTGATAATATCTGCTTCATAGGATTGCTGAGTATTGTCTAGTTCAAACCTCACCCATGACCCAATATTAGAGGTGAGCAACATGCCCTGGCCAGTGTGGCTCAGTGGTTAGAGTGTCAGCCCAGGCACTGAAGGGTTGCAAGTTCCATTCCCAGTCAAGGGCACATACCCGGATTGCAGGTTCGATCCCTGGCCCTAGCAGGAACATGTGCAGGAGTCAACCAATGTGTCTCTCACATTAACGTTTCTCTCTCTCTCCTCTCTCCATCTCCCCCCTTCTCCACTCTCTCTAAAAATCAATGGAAAAAATATCGTGGGGTGAGGATTAACAAAAAATAAATAAAAATAGAGATGAGAAACAATCTCAGAGAGGTAGTGACTCAGCCAAACCCTTACTTGGCAAATCTACAGAAAATAGACAGATGAGCCTTTCTGATGGAAACTTTTGGACAGTCATCCAATCTAAGTGTTTCGGGACCTAGCTGTCCATCACAATCACCTGGAGCACTTGTTAAAAACTCCTTTGGGCAGAGAATCTATTCACTAAGCCTTGGACAGGGCCCAGGAATATGTTTGAGATCAGCCTGAAGCTGATTCACTTTTGGAAATTCGGATCACATGGGGGCCCTCTCCACCTTCCAATGGAGTGTGTCCAACCTCTTGATTTTCAAGTGATCTCCCAGAACAGCCTGTAAAATATCTGTTCCTGCCACTCTCCTGTTCAAAACCTTCCCATGGCTCCCCACGGCCCACTGGACCAGGCCTACCCTCTTTAAGTTGCCCAGTATGATCAAGCTTCAGCACTCCCAATGCCTCTTTCTTCTCCAGACCCAGAGGTTGTCTGATCTTGGAACATTCTTCCCAGCCCCAGCCCTCCTTCAGTGGCTAGTACCTCGTCATTTTTTAAATTGATTTTAGAGAGGGAGAGGGAAACATCAATCGGTTGCCAATCAGGGACCGAACCTGCAACTTGGGTATGTGCCCTGACCAGGAATTGAACCCATGAACATTTGGTGCATAGGATGATGCTTAACCAAATGAGCCTTGGCGGCCAGGGCCCTCATCACCTGTCCAGCACTCACCCTTATATTTTATCTGCTTGTTCACTGGTTTTTCCTGTAAGACTGTAAGCTCCAGAACGGTAGAAACTACACTTTTTCAGGGCCATCTCCCTGGTGTTGGATGCCAACAGTGATTCTTAATAAATGTTTGCTGAATAAATGAATGAGAATTAGCTAGTCCAGTGTGGCCCAGAAGAGCAACCGACCTCCTGGAAATCTTTTCCTCCTGCCTCAGGGTGACACATCCACCCCAAGGGTTATTTAAGGACTGGAATGGTGGCTTTTGGGGTGGACGCCGCCATCAAACCCTTCCTGGGCTAACTAAAAGCTCATGGTTAGCCAGATCTGGGTCTGCCACCCTTAGCCCTGGGGCTTTGGACAGGTCACTTAACCTCTCCTGAGCTTCCACTTTCTCATCTGTCAGAAGGATGAGCCACATCCATGTAATGCACTCTCCCTTTGCCTGACCCACAGTAAGTATCCAATAAATATTAGCTATCAACACTAGGTTTGGATTGCTATTTAGCTTCCAAGGAAAATTCTGTTCTCTGGCCCTAGGAGAGAGTGCCCACCCATAGGAGGCATCAGAAAATATGGTAGCACTAAATTGAACAGAGTTTTTCTGCTGCTGATCAGGAATGACTGGAGCAGAGGTTCTGGGCCCTCAGGGGAAGGGAAACCAATATTCATCCATATCAAGATATAGCCACACTCCCTGTTTATTGAGCACATGCTGTGTGCCAAGGCACTGGGCTCTGGGCTCCCCTCTCTGGGGGAACCCTGGAGGGCTGGGAGGCAGAAAGGGAAAGGAGTGAAGAGGTGGAAGCCCTCCCGTCTTTGCCCCACGTGGAGCCCTCCACGTGGAGGGCTCAGGTCCTTCTGTGGCCACCCAGGGGGGGCGAAGCTTTCCCCAGATGGCTCAGGCAATCCCAGCTCTCCCCAAACCAAGAGCTTGGGCTCCCCGCCTCTCCTCCCTCCACCTCCAGTCCCCCATGCACAGTGCAGAGGTGTCTTCTTCAGGAGAGAGCAGATGGCTCGAGTGCAGTTCTGCCGTTTTATTTTTCCTGGGATACTCAAGGGTATGTGGGAACAGCCACAGGTGTGGTGAGGGGAAGCCCCCATCTCCCCTCCCCAGCAGCTGGGAAAGGGGAGAGGCCCAGGCGCCCTGGTCCTGGGTTGGTCCAGCCACTGTGGTCCCTGGGCCCGGCGGGCTGAGGGCTGAAGGTGGAGCCCCTGGG